CAGTCATTTTATTATACATTATCCCGAGCAATATTCAAATATACAAAGTGTCCGGTGACTTTTTTCCACTGAGTGTAGTTGTAGGCTATATAATCTTACGCAAAATCAGATGGTGCGACTAGATTTAGATGAAGTGGGTTGGGGCCGTATCATTTTATGGGTTAGGATTAGGGTTATGAGTAATAAAGAGAGGACGACAAATAATAAAGATACATGCAAATAAAAAAAATTATGTACTTAACGTTAATAATGTTAAGGCGCATAACAGTTTCGTTTGTATTCTCACCTGATAACTTTTTTTATGAGTAAATAAAGAAAAGGACGACAAAATTTTTACATACGAATAAAGAAATATCAAAATAAATATTAATTTATTTATGAATGTAATGATAATGGGAGTTTTATTTTAATGAAAGTATTTTAACTTTTTTGACAGAAGACGTTGTAGTTGGTCAAAGTCACAGTAAAAGTAAGTTTGATGTAGTGCGATAGTATGCAACAGTGTCACAGATTGTGAATGAGTATTAGTCACATGTTGAAATTGAAAAATAGTATAAAAAGCGCTAGCCTCCGGTGGGCGCGTGGGTCGGGTATAGTAATATAAGAACGGTCGTTAAAGATCTACATTAAATTTACGAAATTCGTGTATTAGAAGGTTAGTGCGGAAAACAGTTTAGAAAATGAAGTGCTGATAGAACGAATGGAGAATGAAGAAATTATAAAACAGGAAAGCATGTGCATGAGGATGCATCAAGAGACAGCGATAAAAATGTACTTAACGTTAAAGTTATCGGCAAAATTGACCAAACAAAAACTTCCGCAGTATTAGAAATTTTTATGAGGCTTCCCATATATTTGCAATGGGAGGCAATCAATACATCGATAGACACAATGTTTCACAATCGAACATTCACCAACATTATTTCTTTCCTGGTAGTTGACTGTTGGTGAAACAATTGTCGGCAAAATAAATGTTTGATGAAATTGACATCCTTGTCGGCAAAAATTCTACGAAATGATTGTCGATGTTATGATACCGACTCATTTGTAACACTTAGCTGACTTCGAACTCTAAAGCGTTTTTATTGGATATTGTAGACATAACCTCTGTATCCAACAGTCAGAAATTAATATAATTACGAGGCACAAACTTTCAATATTATTCTAGTTTTAATTAATGTAAAGTAAAATTAAAATATGTAAAAAGCATTACATTAAAAGCCGCTTCGATTCCTTATTTGGTCGCAATAAAAAACTCAACATTACAATAGTTATATCAGCTATAAGTATACAAATATAACCAGCTGCAGCCAACGTATCAAACGGAGGTGGACGAAACACTAGTATAATAAATATAAAAATAATACAATTACACACCGGGTTAATGTCGATTATAAAACAGATTTAATCGAGTACTTGTATGTGAGATCCCGATTATCATTACACGGATTCAAAACACGGATGATATAAACGGATTCAACCCGTATTGTTCTGATTGGTTCGTGAACTCACATACAATAGCTGTCATTGTTGTCTTTATTATACTCACGCAAACTCAAGGTCGAGAAAGCCGCTCCAGATATGTCAAGTGCAATAAATATTAGAGAAACTCCTTGGACCATTTTCGCACCTGAACAAAAAACGAGACCCTGTCGTTTAATAACTCGGTATCATAAGATTAAAATTTACTGTGTCACTTACGATATATTTCATAAAACTGAGGAATAAATCCGCACAACAATATAACGGTTGGGATGATTCCCAACGTTGTTTTAGGCCACGTTATTCCTTTTTCATTAGCAATCTTTCAAAGATAAATCATACCAACATTATTGCTCTTGTAAATATCAAGTCGTAAACAATAAATTAAACTGAGCGCAGCTAGTCTGTCATCCAATTAAATATTTGCTAGCATGCTTACCTTAACTCCTATAACTCCAGCTGTTTGTATAGCGCCTAGTACCATTAGTCGTACCACAAACACTATTCCGTACTTAAACTTTCTTTTCATACTCCCATTGTCAAATGGGTAATCGTACTGATCATAGTACAAACACTGAACATTGCAGAATAATGCAATTATACAGAATAATTGTGGTTGAAGTATTAAAGGTATAGATAACGACTCAATAATCGTATATATCCCAAAAAGTATTGAAGAAAATGACTATTTTGTTAAATAAAGCGTATACTGTTAGTGTGCGGATTTCTTACTCAATCTGATGGCAATTTATACTAACCCATAAAAGCAGCATATTTGATGATAGTCCTGCCATAAAATAACAATTATTAACTCGGACCGTTCCATACCATACCAATTGATTAAAGTTAAATACCTTCTGTGCTTTTACGCCGCCAGTTTTTGTGTGCTAGTAACAGGTATAAAATTGTGCTGTTAGCGTTATAACAAAGATTTTGAAGTTTTTGAAAAATTATATTACCTTGTGGAACTAATTGAAAAGAGCAAAACAAAGTTCCAAGCATCGCAAATACATTTTCAATTACTGGCTGTTCGAACATACTGTACTGTTTGTATAAAACTATTAACGATTCCTGAATTTAGAGTTTGGCAAGTTCGAAACCAAGAAGATACTGTAGCGTGAGCTGCTCAACTATTTCGTGGGCTATCAATTATTATCAGCGACATTTATATTGACACACACAACATGTTAGATAACATTATTGTAATCATTTTTCTCGAGAGTTGTACAACACACATGCCCCGACGTCGTGTAAGAGGCACTCGTTTTCGGTCTATTTGCCCAGCGTGTTTTGAGACTAATAAATCAACCATGAAATTGAATTTCGAGCACGTGGTAAATTGCATTACACAAAATCATTATATTCACATGAATAGTAAGGCGATCATCGCACGTTTTCTCTGATTGTACTAGTATCACCGTTTTAATTAATAAAATGACATACTAAAAAGTTGATTCCAACTCTATAATATATTAATAAATGAGACTGCATATTCTCACAGGTGTTGATTGCCATCAAACGATATTAATTTGTTTATGCAAAACCTTAGCGATGAATAATTACAGATTCTGTGTCCATATTGTTCAAAGCCGGTATAGTTCAACAAATTAGACGCATTATGAACCGACTCGTTTTCAATAATGTAAGTGTTTAAATTCTGGATACTTATTCTAAGCACAACTTGCTAACGTATTTTATACTCTCAGGGGGAAACAGTATTCTCGTATAAAAATTTATTATCGTATAGATATACAAGATATAACAGATATTGCATTCAGACCCAAAGCTTTTTCGAAATTTTCGATGATCGAGTTTCTAATACAGTATATGCTCTGGCTTGTTATGAATATTGCAAATACAATTGTCGTTAGTAAATTGCAAACAAATATTTAAGATAATTGCCAGAGCATTAAATAACGTAACTTTATGTGCTGTCATCCTAGTCGATTACGAAAATTTGATAATGACATTAGGTTATTCGACTTAGAATAATTGTAGTATAAATTAGTTCATATTACTATAATTAGTTTGTCAATTAGTAGACCGATCTTTCTATTTCTTTACTTAATTTCTATATCGTAATCATTATAAGCCTGTATTTACTCTAGAATAAACTTTCCAACCAATACATCAATAAAATAAAGGTATATTACAGTTTAATTAGCAGTCGAGAGCTTGGCGTGTACGGAATTGATTATGAGGATCGTAATAGATTTGACGGAAAAGCAATCATTTCGCCCGACATTCATCACTGACAAATATTCACCAAGATTATCTCAATATCGACAAAATAATTAACGGCTATTTTATAAGCTCCAAAGTTGATTATCGATTGCCCTATACTTACCGCGTGGTAGTTAACCTGACGCTTAAAGGTTTGTTTTTTCCGTCTCGCTTGAGCAGAAATGGTCAATCTCTTGGTTACTTTTAATGTAAAAAGAGCATAAATGCATCTTTGCAAGGGTTTGTAATACCTGGTAGCACTTTTAGATATAGAATTATGTGCTTACACACACATTCAACGTAAACTCATCTATCATAAACCCGTATTTATTGCACAAGTTAAACAGTTTAACTTGTCTTCCAGACAAACAAGCCCTGATTTAGTGAGACGACGAGCAATCAAAAATATTGTAACCAGATTAATAGTTAAGATTTAGTAAAATGGCAAGCAATTTCTATTCAAGAATATTTTTCCATAATTTGTTTTAGTAATATATAACACGTATGACTTAGCTATTGACTGTGAAGAAAGTGCAGATCATGATGTCAATAAATTGTTACAAGAAGCCTTCAATTACAACCAAGTTCATATTCAAAAAAAGCAAATTATGTTGGATAAATCATTAGTTTGGTTGGTCTGAAGAGGCAACCTTCTTGTTGTATAATTTAGTAATAAGATTACAGTGAATATGAAAGCGATATAGCGGTTTGTTGATATAACGGATTTTGCTTAGTATGGATTTTTTTTTTTTTTGATGAACGGAGCTTAATGGGACATTATTCAATATAACGAAATTATAACTGATTGTCACGATATAACGGATTCTGTGCCTGTCCCGAGGAATCCGTTATATCGACTTTCACTGTGTATAAACGTTCTTTGATAACGTAATAAAACCCAACCCTTTTTTTTCTAATATTTTAATAGTTTTTATTTCCAAATTCCCTTACAAAAGTTAGATGCTTTTTTTCTATATTAATATGTAATGTTATTGTTTTGTATGCAATCTGCATAAACAGCAAGAGCACTCACTAGCTGAGCAAGCTGTAAATACTTATAAAATTTTAAAATGTAGCAAGCCAATACACAATGTCTTCTCAAATTCATCAAACCCAGCTATGTATGCCATCAGATTATCTTGTCTTGTTAGACACATAAAGCTGAGAAGGATTCTCGTACCAATATCTTTTTTATAATTAAATTAGGGTGCCATTCTTAACAAGAATAGAAATGTTTTTTTTTCTTCATGTTGACCCTCAAGTTTATCTATCTACAGTACTGTCAACTCTATGACCTCTGCCTTCTTTTATTTTAATCGGTGTAAATTTAGGTAATAATGGGTTTTACCAATTATTTGTACATAATTATAACAGTACAAACATTGGTCGGAACAATTTTTAAATTTATAAGCGTCGCCTGTTATCTTAAACAACAATCTTATACCTTTTACTGAGAATAGAAATTAGATTAATACATTTTGATGTATTTAATATTCGGAATAAACGTAAATTTTCGTCTTGTGTAACACCTCATAATAGACATGTTTGTAATCTGATATAATATATTAATTAATATAATAATAACTACAAATTGCATAAAACGGACAAATGCAATGATACAAAAGAAAGACTTGTCTTGGCCAAGTATGAATAATATGGTTCTGTTTTGCTTAATGGTACAGTCAATTTTATGCCTTACCAATATCTTCTCGGTTTTTAATTGATGTTATCTGAGGAAATGTGCTGTCCTCTTCTGCCTGGAAATAGCACATATGCAAATATAACGTTAGACCCAGCGTACAGATACTAAAGGAATCTTAAAAAATTTTTGTTACCTCCAGAAAGTACCTCACTTCTTCTACACCATTATATTCAAATTTGAGAGATGGCCATTCTGTCTTATCCAATTTTTTTAATGCAATGACTATGTTTGATGACGATACGGAGTATGTATTTGCAGATATATCAGTCTGCAGATGGTGTATGATGTATGAAGGCGACGTGCTGGATAAAGTAACAATAGTCTAACAGAAAGAGAACGAACAAGGAAAAGTTAATGTTAATGAAGAAGGCATGGCGTTGATTTCATACTTATTAATACTTAACTGATTCTGAGCAAAACTCTACACGGATAGCATCGTTATCGATATTTTGTATACGATAAATAATGCTGACATAGTTTAAAGTTTGTCGGAAAGTAATTTTTGAAGAGTCTAAAGTCGTCATGTGTGGTCCGAAAGCAGTTGCTAACTGATTGTGGGATTTATTATAAGTATTTATGGTGCTAGCCAATATTTGATGATTGGCCTCGGTAAACGTGCGCTTGACAACAGCACCCCGTAATAACACATTGAGTTATATATGTATAAATCGCATCCAGTACATTGCCCCCTTTTTTTATGGGATTATCTTCTGAGAAATAGACTAAATTAAGAACGAACAGCTATGTTCTCAGCAAATAATGTCATCGAGTCATGTCTATGAAAGCACAAATAGGAGAAATTCGGCTATGTGATTTGAAGCAAAAAAGAAGAAGAAGAAGAAGAAAAAAAAAAGCCTGGTTTGAGGCAATAAAACGAACACCAGACAATTGCGCTTGGAAACCTTAAAACTAAATTATACTGCAAAGATTATATTAATATCAAGCTCGACGACGGAAACTGTAAATTCTCAGAGTTGTTGAATTTTCACACGCGCCCATCGGCATGTGACGCAACTCTCTCACCCCCTCAAGATATGTAAGAAAATGTGTGTGTATATTCTCAGAACTGAACAAGGCAGGAATTACAAAATAATGAATGGGAACAAAATGTTGAAAAATTACAAGATTCTTATAAACCTACTATCCGTAAACTATACGAAAAAGGGTAAGGAGCTCGTGACACAGATCGATGTATATACTTCTAATAGACTATAATCATAAAGTTTTGAAGGTTGACACCCAGATTATAACTATAACGACACAATAATGATGCTACTATTACTTGGAAACAATAATATTATTCGTGCGTCTCTGAGCTTGCGAGCATATTGAACACCAATAATAATCTACACTATCTCATTAAAGCTATAGTCGCGCTTTTTTATTGTTATCGACAAATAGACCAGGCACCAATTAATAATCCCTAACATAAGAGTTTATTAAGTACTTTCGACTAGCAATTTTAACTTACATTACAACCATGCAGACAATCGTACAAGTCGAAAAATAGATATAGACTATATTTGGTATAAGTTTAGATATAAGTGGGCAATCCGTTATAGGTAACAGTAACCAGATTAGTGTCGAAAGAGCAATAACTATACTTTTTGTTTTCGAATAAGGTGGGAAATATTCCGCATGTTGTGTTATATCAATCAACCTGATCGATCATCAAGGAAGATTTTACACAGTAAACAAAATTGGACAACCGTGTAAATGATTGTTCAGAGTACTTTTAGATTGAGTTCCAACGACGATTAGGATTGGTTCTGGCTTGTTACCAATCAAACTACTCGTCTTATTATCTTTGATATGTACTTTTCTTCTACATTCGATATGTCATCAAGTTGCACACTTATTCTGACCCATAAACGAACCCAAATGTAATCGAACCAAAGTTATTATAACTAACAATAACCAGACTTATAATGCAACAAAATAACTTGCGACAATTTGTACAGTTTTATTTCTTTTCTTATTCTCTCGGTCGAGAGGTAACATTTGAGTATAACCTCTACCATCTCCGTCTATAATTTCCATTCCGTTAGTATGTTGGGATGCGGAACTTTGTACCTTTTCAAATTCTGCACTGTAAAATTATTGCATTTGGCCCTATACCGTAATCAATTAGTACGTCTCAATGAGCAACTTTTTCCGCGCTTCTCACTCCAATGTATTTACACGTACTTTCGTCTAAAATAGATTGTATAACCGCCACTGATACGAATGCTCGAAGACCTATCATAATTCTCTTTCAATAACTGCTCAACTAGCATGAGTAATAATTAAAGCTATTATAGCATTTTGTCTGCTATTCTTCGGCTTAGAAAAAGGAAACTTGCAAAGAACAAATCTAAACAGAAAGCGAGGATGATACATTATTTGTTCTGTTAACATATTTATAACCAAATATGATAGTACGTGTTTGTGACATTTCACACCGTTCTCTGTACCTAATTTCCGAAACATTGAACGTTTATTTATTAATAAACAGTTTTTAGTTATTAATTCTCGTACTGTTATATAAAGGCTATTTTATTAAGACATTTCTTATTTTCCCATTAAAAACAGTTTGATGGCTTCAAGTTCGAGTTGGACATCTATTTTTTTTTCACCAGATTTAAAGCAGAAACGCCCGCGTGTGCAATCGAAGAACAAAGTTTAAGTATCATATTCATTAATGTTCCGCTTCCAAATAATTACCAAGGAACAATTATTAATAATATCTCTCATAGTGTAAATTACTACAATATAATATTGTCACCCACTTAAACATGGAAAATAAATTGTCGAAACTTTGATTAAAATTATCGAGAAATTTAATTACAAAAATTTGGGGGGAAATATGATTATATAGTGAAAAAGTTTTTGAACAAATGAGAAAAAAGATTAATGAATTAAACACGTATGAACCCTGCATGCGTATAAACAATTAAATTTTTATAAAGATATGCTATAAAGTTTGTAAAGAATAAATAATTTACATAAGCGCAGGTAACGTGTGGTATTATTACTTGTATTACATATTATTACATTATACTGTTCGTATACACTTGAATCTTCATGATACATGTAACAAATTACTGTCACGTCGATTGTGACAGTTAAACATACTTTATAGCTTTGCTGTCATATGTAACCGTATTACAATGTAAACTCTGTCTGTCCCCAAAACCGCGCATTTACATGCTTAAAACATTGAAATCTCAGAACGTTTATCATGTATAACCGTCATAAGGAGAATCGTATAATCGAAAATAAAGTTTATTTTCACAAAAACTGCCAATACCAAATTAAAAAAAAAATAGTGTGAATTAAGCTGAATTATCTTCAAGCAGAACAATTCACTCAGTGGATGTAATTGCAAGCGTACGTATAGTATGGTAATTTAAATGTTGATTCGTAAATCGAAATTGAATAATCGTCATGGTGATATTCTGAAAGTCTCTATTTATTAGAAAAAAATTGCTCTCGTATTTCAGTTTGAGCTTCCTCTGTAACCCGTTCAGTTATTTGTGTCAACCGCAATTTGCATTACAGTTTACGATTGATCAAATGTGTCACACATGGATCTGATAGCTCATCACGTGGGGTACAGATCTGTAAGACATTAATTAAACTAATTTTAGTTAACTATAAATGATACGCAGCTTCTCTGGAAATGAGTAGCCTAAAATCGTAATAAAATAATGAATGAATTATTCAACTCGCAGTTTTCTTCTCTAATATCCGGCACCGTAGTATATTATAAAGCTTAGACGTGCAAACGATGCTGAGAAAATTTGTTACTATTTTTCATATTTGCTTCATAATTACATTGTGTCTTGGCATATCAAAGGCTTTGGTAAATCCAGTCCAATCACTGACATATAACCTACCTTCACCCACAATCGTTCAAGAACGGGGCCTTACTCATCGTGACAATGTGGTTACTTATACGACTACGAGCACTTCGTTTACATCTATTATGCCGACTGATACGACCATACCGACTGATACTCATAAGCCAGACGAACCGTTTCATTTGAGCTGGCCAAGTTGGATGACAGATGTTTTGTCCTACATTTACAACGTAATGGCTCTTGGAGCAATCATTGTGTTGTTTATAATTCTGGTAGAAAAGAAGAACCATTCCATCTCTCAAGGACATTTCAGTCACCCTTCAATATACGACATTTTTCGTGCAGCTCAGTTCCTCATGACTACCGCTTTACTTTCTTTGCCCTGCCTTAGTTTGAGTTATCGAAACTTTGCGTTCAAAAGTGGATGGTTAAGTAGTTTACCACCAAGTTTTGTCGACATTACGGCAATATCCAACGGGGTTGATGAGCAGATACGAGGGAAAGTGTGTATCGTTTTCCAGAATTGTTCGGAAAACACTGATAGCGGATGCATGGATAATGTAACTCTACATTCCGATCTGCCTTTTTCTGGTTTCGCGGCTTTTGGACAAGCGCAAAATGTTCCGGGCTACGATCTATTCTTCATAGTTATGCTAACGTTTTGCGCTGTCATGGTAATTGTAACTTGCATTGCATTTTTACTTGGTTTATTGGCACGTTCATGCAGATCTCTATGGGAAAAATGGCCTACATTGGAGATCATCGCAGACCACCTTTTTCTTTTTGTACTCGGTAAGTAGCATGTTTAAAATCTTAATATTAATCAATTTCGTTTATTAACTCTAACTCGGTTTACATTTAAGGTGCAATGCTACGAGTGGTAAACACATATTTAAATTATCAAAAACGTTCTATTTTACTGTCGGTTAAATAGTAACTAACTTGTTTTATTTTCTACTCTTAAATATCCAGCTGCTTTTATTCTTTTATTCTTTAACACTTTTTGCAGTTTATCAGCTGACCATTTACAATGACTGCTGGATTATGCTCTTGCTTGCTGCGATCAGTGTTGCATTAATTTCTTTTGGCCCGATAGCCTTTTGTAGTTTAAAAATTTTGCATGACATGTCATCTAACCGGGATGCAATGGATACGCCAGTCCACACATTTATCTATGGTGCATTTTACACTCAGTATCGAGATGATCCTGAGATACAACAAACTTGCATCTGGTTTTTTGCATGTACACTTACATATGATTTCCTTAGAGCCATCATCATTGGAGCTGCCCAAACACATGCTGTTACACAAATCATTTGTCTGCTTGCTACAGAAGCAATCTACCTTGCTTTATTGGTAGGCTTTAAACCGTTTAAAACAAAACTACTAAATTATTTACAAATGATCATATCCTTTTTTAGACTTGCTGTTATAATTTTGTTAATTCCACTCTTGCATGATTGTGTCAATGATATTTTTAGAATACTTGCTCTCATACTGCAAGGCCTTATTATAATATTGTTGTTTATAATTATATTTATAAAATTAATAACACTACTCTTTACAAAAAGAAATAGATTAGTGTGAACAAAGCAAATAGAAAACACTTGTAATAGATTAAGTGACAGAAGGCAATTGAAGATACAAAATAAATGAAACTTTTACAGTACAAGTAGTAATACTAGCATATATGCTTACAGACTTGAAATAAGAACAAATTAATCAAAGATATTTATTATTATTAGTAATAACATTATTTGATAATATTGTTTGTATGAAGGCAAACGCCTTTTTGTTTTTACTTTGCCAATGGTATAAATTAGAGCTTAGCTAACTGCTTCAGATTTTTTTTATTACAAAGTTTAATAAAGGCACTAGGTTCAAGTTAGATATTACAAGTTTATAATTAATATTGTCATATAAAAATTACTGAATAAAATATTTTGTTTTATTTCCGAGATTAGATTCCATCAATAGAGCCTTTACAGTTGATATTGACTGCAAAATTTTTCAACTAAGCCCTAGACACAGCTTTGCTAGCATGTCTGCTTCAATAAAGGTTATATTAATATAGCTATATATATATTATTAGTGCTAATATCACTATCCTATCTGGAAGGCTATTTGACTGTTAATAGTAAGTAAATAATTATTGAATTAAAACATTTAAACTTATCTTAATTTGTCTAAATTTTTTTAAAAAAAGTTGGTTTTTTTTTCAGCAATACACCACTGTTAGGCTAAGCAAATTACAACACGGAGAATAGCTGTCCCCGAATAACGATTGCTTAACTGAAAAATAACTGACACAATATTATTTTAATTCTGTCAATAAAAATGTTCTTGGCTATTAAATGTACACATAAATGACATGCCCTAAGGCTTTAATGATTACACTATAATGCAAATTGCAGCAATTGTGGTGACTATTTTGACTACAAAATTCTGTATGAGTATAATAATAATTCAATTACATTGTATGTTTGTGTCATAACTTAATTTTCTAAGTTTATAAGCCTTCTAATATTTTATCAGCTATTACTATTTGATGTCAACTGTGTAAAGCACAATTGATCGTAAAATTTTGGTATGTCATACAACAGATATATACAATTACTATACAACAGCTTGCAATAGTAATATTGTCTTCAGGGTGTGATTAAATTGATGTGGTTATAAAAATTGGCTAGAAGTACTCACTTTGCATTGTTATTATTTTTGTCAGAATACCATTAAAATCTTTGCTAGTAACTTAATTAATATTAATATATTAAAAAAACTAGACTCAAC